TCAAGCCACTCCCACCTGGTCACATGGCCTGCAAGCCACCCCCACCCAGTCACATGGCCATCAAGCCACTCCCACAAAGCAGACCACATCTACAGAAGAGGTTCTAAAAAAATTTGAAACCCACCACTGGTATGTTGATTGATGGATCATGTTTATGTAGTATATGTTGGAGGTGGTGACCCTTTAAGAGCCGTATGCAATGAAAATATGCCAATTAGTGTACATTTAAAGTGACAATAAAGTTATTCTAAGTCTTAGATAGCACTTTTCAATATCTTGGTGAAGAGCGAGATAATATAATTCTAGAGTTAACTGATTGCTCAGGATCAAGATAAAGTGCATTGTATTGTATATACCCAAGTTAAAAAAGGTCAAGTCACTGTTATAAATTAAGAGTGATAGTTTTATCTGAAAAGAAGGAATGAAATGATCAATTTCTGAGTGGGTGCTATAGACTTATTGGTTGCCTATTGAGAGGTTTGAACTCACTTGCCTAAGTAGAATTTTTTTATTCTATGATTTTGTAAAAGCAGAATTGAAATATAATTCCATAATTTTTCAATATAGTTTCCATAATTTGTCAGTATCTTAATTAATAAATTCAACATTTAGTGTGGAATATAATTAAGCAATTTGTAATTTTGATAGAATTACCAGTATATTAGCGGATGTAGCATCTAACAATCTGCTGGGTGAGGGAAACATGTAGTGTATTATTTTCAGTTTGGTCAAATAAATGGTGATGTCCTATCCATGAGCAAACAATTCTGATCAATCCTAGATTATGGGCTTTCAGCATAAATACTGCATCAATGAATTATAGTCTGCATTTTTTTACTGTTTACATAGAAGCCAAATTTATAAAATATGAAGCTGTTGACTTCAGAATTTTTCCCTGTTGTATCTGTATCTGATGTCATTTTGCAAGAGTTCCTATTGAGGGTGTGTGTGTGTGTGTGTGTGTGTGTGTGTGTGTGTGTTATAAATAGGTTGAATCAATTCAATGTGGTTATATGAAGGGACCGTGAGAAAATGTATTTTTTATATGTGGATACCTTGTTATATAAAGCTGGACCACAATTAACCAAATTATTTAAAATTTAAATTTAAAAACCATTAAAGTCTTTGTTATTTGCTATAACATGTCAAAATCTAGGTTAGCAAAATGTAAATATCATAAATAGATAACACAGTTCATTCATACACACATAAGTACCTTATACAAGAATTTTATACACCACGGATGTCAAACTCAATTGTGTCATGTGATGTCATGTGATGTAGCACAATTTTTTTTGTCTTTGCAGAGCCGAGGGGTGTGTGGCCTGCACATGATGTATATGGTCCATGATGCATCTGTGATGCATGGGCTGCCCCTGTATATATCAAACAAATAACTATTTTTTGTGTTTTTGTTACTCTGTAAGCTTTTACATATTACATAGTATTACAAAATAATGATATTGGTTCTGATGTTATGATTACAATGATTGCAAACTGTAGGAAGTAATTTAATGATTCCATGAAGAAAACAATTGCATCATTTTAATGATATCATCCATAAAGGTAAAGCTCTCTACAAGTGTTATATTCAATAATTACATGGATATTTCTGTTGTTTTCTTGATGAATTGCCACTTCCAGAGTCTTTTTTTAACTTTCCAGTCTTATCTACAGCCTTGTATTCCTGTTACAGTTCCATCCAATACTACTTGCTTAGCTTTTTAAAATCAGTCAAAATCATCTAGAAGCTACCATGCGCTATATCATGCACTGTCAGTAGAAATAAAAATACCTGCAATGTTTTAATTCTATGTATAAAATATATAAACATCTTAAAAGATTAGATATATAAACTTTCTAGCATTGTCCTATCCAAATCTATTGAATGAAAGTTTATTGAATGAAAGTTTATGTGTTATTTACTATAAATTTCCACAAAATTCTTGGTTCTTCTTCTACAATATATCTATGATTCATCTAATAATACCCAGTTTAGTCTAATGGTTAAGGCTAGGCTAAAAAGTGGGAGACCATGAGTTCAAAACTTGCCTTAACCATGGAAGCTGGGTGACGTTAGACCAGTCACTCTTTCCCAATCCACAGCATTGTTGTGGGAAAATAGGAAGAGGAAAGTGCATTGGACACGTTTGCCATCTTGAGTATTTGTAAAATAAGAATGGAATATAAATAAAAATTATGTGTCTATTCTTCTAAACAATAAGATTTTAAAATATCAAATGCCTACTTTTTTCTTCTTGAGTGATGAGCAACGTAAATATAATAACTGCACAGAATTAAAGGTTCAACAATATTAAAAAAAACATTTTATGTATCATTATTACTAAAACTGATTTTTATGAATTCTCTATCGGTATTTTATTGTGTAGGACACATATTTCAGTCAGGCAGTGTAATCTGCCCCCCCCCCCCACTCCAGGTCTTACTTTCATTGTTAAAGTAGAGTTCAATGCTTATGGAAAATAATAATGGAGAAATCGAAGGGAACTCTTTAAAGAAAAACTTAATGACATTATTGGGATTCCTAACGTAGTTACTAAGTGAAAAAGCTGTCAGTAAAGCCTAAAGAATGAGCTGTGCCCCTGCTGCTACAGTCACAACTGATTTACAACCACTTTGTGTTTGATACTGGACAGGATAATTTCATCAGTCTCCGACTCTTGTGATCATGTCCCAAGTTGACTAGTCAGGTGAAGACCTGGCAGAAGATTGCTTGTCACCTATAGGAAGTAGCTGTCTGCTATGAGAAGTCTTCACTCATAAATGTAATCATCTGCTAGTTATTCATTGAACTATACTTCATGGTCTGGATAGAGAAATATAGATGCAGTAGCTTCAGGAAAATATTTGAAACAAGATGATTTGAGACAGCACCTTACACCAGAACATCTACTTTCTTCTTTTAAGAGGATTTAGGAAAAAGCCATTCTGAAGAAGAGTTCACTAACCAGGGAAGTGATGTGTAATAATTATTTCAGATAGCTATTAAAGTCAATGATAATAACAATGATATAAGAAAGCATGTAAAAGAATTGTGCATAATGAAAAATGTTCATACATTTCAAAAGTTACATACTAAGCAGCTAGCTATATCCTCATGCTTCTATCAAATAATCTCCTGGAATCAAAACAAAAAACAAAAAAACACCTTTGTCTCATGACTGCCTTTAGGGATATGGTGCATTGGCAATCTTATATATTTAATGTTTTATTTTTTATATTAAAAGTATGCTCTGTTAAAGTGATGAAGAACATTATGAATTTTCTGGTTTCAATACAACCAAAGCGGAAAGCAGGAAAATGGACATCATAATAAGTTTTAGAGTAGGAACATAGCACATTTGTTTAGTTCACATTTTCATGCAAATCCACTTGATACATTGAAATCAACAATTATGTAAACACTCCACAATAGATATTTTGTTCAACTAGCTATTAGGAATGTCTTTTTATTGTCAAATATTCTTTAGAATAGTCTTATTCAAATTCACAGTGCTTATAATTGGTCACTAAATTCTGAATGTTACATTCTATTTACTATAAATAGTGGCCTATTGAGAGCTTCTTTATAAAGAATAAAGACTACATATGTGTGTGTGTGTGTTTGTGTAGTCAGTCTTTTCTTAGCACAATGTAAAAATATTTTTCATATTGCATATTTCCCTTCATGCTTTTTGAAAACTATCTTGTTTTTTGCTAATTAGTGAAAAAACAATTCATTACTGTTATATAGCTTTATGCATTTTTACTATACTATTTCCTTATTTATTATACCATTTCCATATTTTAAAAGGAAAATTGCACAGAAGTGTCTAGGAAGGTGGGCGGAACCTCCCACTACCGCCACTACCGGTTCGCCCAATCCAGGATAAACCAGCAGAAACCCACCTCTGGTGTTAGGGTTACCTATAATGAATGGATTAGGACTAGCAGCTATGTTTAACTGGGTCAAAACAGACAACATGGAAAGTCATGATGCCAGACCTGTCTTTGTTTTTAAGAGCAGCAACACTGATACCTATAAAAAAGGAACAGAGCTAAAATCATGTCATCTTGCCTCACTTGACTCCACCTGCTTGCTACTGATGACTGGTAAGACTCTGGTGAGCAGAGTGAAATCCAGACTCAGTACTGCTTATTTATGCAATCACTCTAGCCATTTACAGTATATATTTGACTTAGTTATCAAATAAATGAGGAGCATAAAGTTATAGGTTTCTCTCCACCTATGTGCTAGTCGTTCCTCACTCTAGGGGGTGGTGCTCATCTCAATTTCAAAGCCAAAGAACAAACACTGTCTGAAGACATTTCCATGGTCATGTGGCTGGGATAANCTATCTATCTATCTATCTATCTATCTATCTATCTATCTATCTATCTATCTATCTATCCATCCATCTATCTATCTATCTATCATTGATCTATTTTTAAATTATGATTTAATGTAAACATCTTGCATGACTTGATGATAGATGATTGTAATATTTTCCAAACATCTGATGAGCTAGTAATTAAAGACCACTCACAGATCTTACTGCATTGCCAAAGGAGAGGGGAGGGGAACCAAGTCAACCAAATTATACTGAACTTTCATTTGATGAAGCCAACTCTTGACCTTGATCCTATGATATATAAAACTATATATTGACGGTGTCTGCATTTAACACTTACTTGACTGTGGGTTCATAGGAAGGTGACAGATCTATCCTGCATTTTTTCCTGGGTATGATTGTGGAGAAATATCTTCATATGAATGCACACAATAAAGTTTAGAGGATATTGAAGCACTAACATTGCCATTATTGAGTTCTCAAGTAAAGTAGGATATTCCTTGGACAGCATGGACATTTAGATCTAAAAAACAATGAAATTTAAGTACAATTAAGTATTAGAAATTTCAAGAAAAAACAAGCATCACCATTAACACCCTCACTTTTATATAGCTGTTACTATGATCAAAATTACACACAATATCATCATTTTTAAACCACACATAACAACCTTTTTTGTATACATTTATTATAAGATTCAGCATACATTATTTATAACATAAAAAAGTAAAACATCTTGCTGCATGTGCTAAGATTAGAATTTACTGTACAAGAATCCTTGAACAATTTTATCAAAAGTCCATTTCTAGATAGTGTTTATATGCAATAAATTCTATAGCAGAAATATGCCCAAAGAGATAAATGAAATCTGATAAAGGTGAATCATCACAAGTTTGATGAATTTTCACCCATGTATTTGTTTTACCCTTTGATGTGCAATTGGCAGAAAATCATCTATTGGAATTTTGAGTCTAATAGTTTTTTCCATATTGGAGAAACATCCAGAAAATAAAATGAAATTTAAGTGAAACCAAATTCCCACAGCTGTTAATGTTGAAGAAAATAAGTCAAAAGATCTAGGATGGTTTTTTTTTTTTTAATGCAACAGCTTTAGTGCAAGAGTGAACAATTTTTCTGGTCTTGAAGATGGCTAATTTGGTTGCTAACTTGGGAGCTGTTTGTGCAAATCCATCCATCCATCTAGAGCAGTGGTTCCAAACCTCTGTTTGGCCATGTCCCATCTAAGCATGTCTACAATCCTGATGCCCCCACTCCACATATAATTCTTACTTTACTCAAAGAGTGAACTCTACTCATGTGGAGGAAGCCTAAAAGGCCATTAACCTGGTTAAAAAAGGTTCAAATTCCCCCCCCCCCATTAAAAATCAAATTGACCCCCTGGGGGGAATGGACCCCACATTGGGAACCACTGATCTAGAGATTTTTTGCAGGGTTGGTGTGAAAAAATAAAAATAGTAACTTTTCATCCATCTTTTACTGCTTTTCTTCTGCTATCAACAACATTGCAAACAAATGCCATGTCCTATGAGGAAAGAAGATTTCTCACACCTGCACTGACTATCTGTTGCCTGAGGCTAGAGTTGTTTTAGTGCTGGTGATAAACCTTTGGAAGAAGGAGAAAAGCAGCAAACAAATGCTGAGTTCTTTAATCAATAAAAAGAAATCAAAACACCAGATATAACATGGGGAATATCATGCTTCATGGAAGTACTTGTCAAAAGAAAGAGGAAGTAAATTTGATTTACTTAGTATGAGTCAATGTAAACTAAGTATGAGTCTATTATATTCTGAATATCTCATGGCCTTTTCAATTCTGACAACACATTTCTAAAACAGTCACTGGAATAAATGCAAAGAAGGGCACTGACGATGATTAAGGAACTTGAAAATAAGTCTTACAAAGAGAGGATGGGAAAATTGCATAGTTTTGAGAAAATAAACTTTTAAGGACACGGATGGAATGTTGAACAAAAAAGAGTTCAAAATATATTCTCTGTTAATCCAGAACATAGGTAATGAAATAGTGGTTTTAAATTACAGGAAAGCAGATTATAGCTGAATGTTAAGAAAAAAACTACATCTGGTAGAAGCAGTTCACTTGCTAAGAGAAGCGATGAGCCCTTATTCACATGTGTCTGAGCAGAGAATTAATAGCCATCTGTCAGATATGCTTTCATTTGGATTCATGCTCTGAGCAAAGGATTCGACTCTGTGTCATTAGTATTTCTTCCAACTCTCTAATTCTATAATCTGATTCTAAGGATATTTTCATAGGACAGCTCAAAATGTCTAATTTTTCAGAAAACTGATCACTTTTACTTGAGTTCTAGAAACTGAAACAGTGCCAAATCTTACACTTCATCTGTGCTATTTTATTAGGGAACATTTTACTGTAGTGCTGATGATTTCATAAACTAAGGCTTATATATACTTGCATTGCACAAACAAGAAGGACATGTTATATGCAGCCAGCAAACATAAAAGATATCTAGTGCTGTCTAATATTTATCTTCCTCATATTCAGTGTTACAATACAGAAATGAAAATCTAAGATACATTTCATAAAAGTGATTCTTAGGATATCTTGTATTGAACCATGGAATATTTGATAATTGAACAAATAAAAGAGAAAGAAGATTTATGACCCAGGGACAAATTAAATGAAATTATGGAAGATCTAGGAAAGCTTGAACTGAATTTGGAGAATAGTGCTGGAGATTTTTATTTTTTTTACTCTTTTATATGTCTGATGTAAATAGAGGAAATACATTTTGAATAGAATTAGGTATTGGAAGGATTATTGACTAATACATATGTTAAACTTTAATCAATATCAGAAATATTGTACAAAAAGAATCCTTATCCTTTTGAAGTGGTGATAAAAATCTGAACTCCTCCCACCAATATCTTGATGAAGAGAACCTCCTTTGGTTCCTGCTCCTTTCAACTTGTTCTGGTTCCCCACTCCACCAGACTCCAAATACAAACACACAAAATTACATAAAGTGAAGTAGTAGCATCTTTATGGTAGATGTCCTAAAGCCTGATTTTATGTTTTCCCATCTATGATTGAGACTATAAGTGGACTGATTTGGAGATGCTTAAATAGACTGCACACTGGTGCTGGGACTGCTTAGAACTAAAGACCACATGAAAAAATAGGGTTTTCTCCCAGAGGACAATGTTATTTACCGTGAATATGGCACTATTCAAATAATTATCCATCTTTTACATGTCCCCTGGAACCAACATGCATTCAGAATGACTTGCTGGACGGAAATATCCCTGCTATCAATGTGGCCCAGCATGCTTTTATTGAAATTTTTAATCTAAATTTAAATTCATAATTTCCCCTTTTTTCATTTCTGCATTTCTGACACAAGACAAATAGACTAATATTACATAGCTCCTCATAAACTATATGATGTTATATTATATTATAGGCAATATAATACATATTATGTTACATTACATGCAACTTCTGATAGTCCATAATAAATTTCATCATGTTCCCAAACCAAATGAAATGCACCATTTTGGATAATGGTAATTTTCTCTGGTGACACCTGAATACTGCATAGTCCATCATTTAGATATGACAACTTATAAAATAAACCTTGTAACCTAACTAATCCAGGAGATTAGTTAGCAAGAATGATTTGAAATGTTCTGTTTTTGATCAACTGTTTCTGCAGTGCTTGTGAACTATATGCTGTTTATGGTATCTGGATTTAGAACAATTATTATGATTTTCCAACTCATTCCTCGTAGAAATTTTGCTAATTTAATTTGAGATTTCATGTTCAGAATCTTTTCGTAAACTTTGCCATGGCCTGTTTATAACCCCAAACCAGCAACAACTCATGGTTGTTTGTCAATGATGCCTTCTTTTCATGTCATCTGCAGGAAAATGCTGTCAGTATACAATTAAATGCACTTTATCTTTCAGTACAGAAGTATTTCAGACATTTGTGAGACATAATTCAAAAGACTCTTTTCCCAGTTCCGGCTGGATTTGTACTAATAGTGGGATTCAATTTTTTTTAACAACCGGTAATGTAGGCATGACAGGGCAAGGATACTGTAAAATCTCCATTCCCTCCCCACTCCAGGGGAAGGTCACTTCAAAATCCCCATTCCCTCCCGATCAGCTGGGACTTGGGAAGCAGAGAATAAATGGGGCCAGGGCCAGTCAGAGGTGGTATTAACCGGTTCTCGGAACTACTCAAAATTTCCTCTACCAGTTCTCCAGAACTGGTCAGAACCTGCTGAATACCATATCTAATTTGTACTAAGGATTTTGTACTATCAGAATAACATTCATATGGTTTATGTGCCCAACGACATTCAGCCCTACTCCGTCCCACCCTATTATTATACGAAAATTCTGTTTTGAACATTACAGATGAATCAAAAAGTTCAGTTCACTTAAGCAATGCTTTATATAATATCAAAAATTCTTGGGAATCTTATCTATTATAGCTCCTACTGATTCATTTTAGAACAAATTAATCTGCTATATCAGGTGTCTAATGCATACAGATCTAATTGGGATATCACTCCGTACATGCTGTTAGACATGCTAGTGACAAGAAGAATTTTAGCCAGTATTGGCAAGAAGCCACAACATACCTTCCTGGAACAAAGTGCAGGATAATTAAAGAGCAGGCACTAAGGGAACACTGCAGAGAGACACAAAAATAGCCATCAGTAAAGTGCCAGAGAACATATTTCTTACTAACGCAAAGGATTGTTCAATTTATTTTAAAATAGCTATCATTAAAAGAGAATTCCCTTCTCTGTTTGTATATTGAAACAGATTGAGTTTAAAGAATAATAATGAAGTACAAGGTATCTCAAAAATGTAAAATTTAATTTTCATTAAAGAATATTTAGCCAAATTCATCTTATTATGTGTTCATTATAAGAACACTGGAAGAAATAATGTTTTTTACAAAATTTACATGAATATTACATTTTAAGCAAAATATCTTCAGTTCTCAGATTTGATAGTGTAAAATGCCATCTTGGTCTAAATCAATTGGCTGAATATTGTGCATATTTTTGTACAGTTTTTCTTGCAAGTTTGGGAGCTAGAACATGAGATTAGAATATTTCTTAGGATAGGAATTCACAACTTATACCATTTCAGATGCTGCTGAGCAATTCCCAGACTGCGTGAATAATGAGGATGGACACCTATTAGATCACCAAGAAGCTGTCCACAAAATAATCTTGTTAATTGTTACCACATGAGAGAGTTTTTTAAAATATAAATTTCAAAGATATATCCCAGAAATAAAGCAACAGGTATTTCCTGCACTGGCTGAGGAGAGCACATTTTCTCCTTCTGTCTTAGCCACTTTTAACAGAGGCACAATTAAAAGCGTTTTAACAAATTGTATCACTGTTTGGTTTGTTGGTATCAGTGCCTCAGATAAAAAGTCCATATAGAGACTGATAAACACAGCTGGGATTATCGGAAGCTTACTTCCTATTATTCAGGATACCATTACTCAGAATACTGCTCATAAGCGCTATGTGCTTAGAGCTCAAAGCATTGACCCTACACAATCACTTCACAGTCTGTTTCTATTGCTCTTGTCTAGGAGGAGGATTTGAAGTATTTCTAGCAAAACTACTGCTATGTTCTCTATGCCATCTGTCTGGTAAACTCACAAGATTTGTTTTTCTCACCATGTACATGTATACATCCAAACTAGATTGTGTTGTTTTTCTGTGTCATATAATATATGTGGGTATGTGGCAGGGGTGGGTTCTTGTCAGTTCTAACCTCTT